TTGATGAAAGAATCGACATCTGTCAGCGTGGTCGTGGTGGATATTTGGCAGATATCATTTTTCATTCATAATTGCCAAATTTTTCTCTTCGTAATACAATAAAAATTTGAATCATCTTCATCTAAATTCTTTGTTTTATTTTGTTTTAGAAAACAAAGTTCTTGTTGAAAAACCCATTAGTTGCGACGTCAACTATTCGTTCTTATATTATGTTTATCTTCACCATCACCATTATAGCCGTTCACTGTTGAAATAAGGCTCCTCAAGGAATGCCACAAAACATGGTCCCGAGCTACTGGTAGGGCCACGCGGCAGCTTTTGCTGTCGCACGGATGGGCCGGCTCGAACCGGGGTGGTACCATGACCTCACAGAAAACCAGCGTGAAGTAGAGGTTTACCTCTGCGTTTCGCTTGGTGAGTGCAGGTGGCCGGAGGCCCTTTTTACTGGAAATGAGGCATTCCATCTTAGTCCTCACGGGTGACAACGCATCTACATTTTGATTTGTAATAGAGGATAGATGTAGATGTCTATGGGCCGCAGCAACCACTTACCATCAGGTGGACTGTGTGCTCGTTTGTCACCCTTATCCTATAAAAAAAAATCGACTTGCCTTGACTTGTGGGGCAACCATAAATTAGACTTGCCGGCACGAGGCAGCCACGTGAAAACTTTTCTTCCACATCAATTATCGTTTCTTTAAGCTATATGGCAAGCCCATTGGAATTTCAGGGTATTGAACCTTTGGGCTATGTAGGTTAATATCGGATTCTACCATGCAACGAAACTCCAAGCATAGCTAATTAATAGAATCAGGCGTTACTTTGCGGAAACCCATCATAATTAAGCTGTTATAACTTAATTTCTTAATTTCGCGAAAAGATAAAAAATAATGTGTTCTGCCCAGTCTGTAGGGGACCACCCACCCTCCTTAAATTGCGTGCACTATACCCGTAACCACCAATCCTAGCACCACACTCCTAGCACCATCACTCTCAAAACCACCACATAAGGAACGACACACCACTCTCGATAACACGACACGTGTTTCGCCTCTACACGAAGCATCTTCAGGTGAAGTAGACTTTGCGGAGGCTGGCCGCAAATCTTAGCAGATCACAGCGGACACGTCATTTTCTTTCTTTACGCGGAATTAAGCAAATTAAGTTATAACAACTTCATCAAGCTATTCTTTCAATAGCTTGCTGACCTATAAATGTCTATAAACGAAGTTAATTCAATATATTTAAATTTTCAGAAACAATTAAGGAATAAAATAATATATAATTTAATGAAACAAGTAATGACAGATAAAGATAATGGGGTTAAGCAATCTATTACCCACCATCTTTACTTTGTAACGGATTTATTAACAAAGTATGTAATCTGGTGTTTTTATATTCTATCTAAGCTTTTATAATATGCTCTTGTGGTGCTTCCACACAAATTTTATCACATGCGATACTTTCCAGATAATCACACTTTTCAAGTTATCTACTCGTGCATATAGCATATACGTGGTAGAGCCATGCTGCAGCTATATTTTGGTTGTAGCACGAATGGGTCGGCTCGACCGGGGAAGGACCACGCACTCACAGAATACCAGCGTAAAATAGCAGCTTAACGCTGCTGTGTTTCGTATGCTGAGTGTAGAGAACCGGAGACCCTCTTTACTAGAAACGAGACATTCCATCTTAGTCCTCACGGGTGACAACGCATCTGCATTTTGATTCGCAAATGAGGATAAATGTAGATATCTATGGGCCACAGCAACCACTTACCATCAGGTAGACTGTGTGCTGGTTTGTCACCCTAATCCTATAAAAAAATAGGTTTTAGACTGCGGTGGTGACAAGAGTCGAGATAATGTGACACGAACAATGTGGTTGGTTTGAAAGGTTAAAATTTTCTTGGTTAATATACACAAAACATTAAAAAGCAGCTCGGTAGCTCAGTTAGATTCCTACACGGAACAAGTATTTGCATTGCCTACCAATAATATCGTATTGTGTACCGCGTCTGGATCTTTTTTTTCTTTTTCTTTGAATTTATGTATGTAAAAGGCCTCTACGATGCAGGGCAAATTCCTAAATTGGAGCTAAATTAACGTTTAAAAATTAATTAACCTAATGATGCGCAAATTAAATATAAAAGTAAAGAAATTAAATATATATATTTTTAAAGCTTACAACTTTTTAAAGTTAACATGCCTCTTTTTAAAGATAGAGCATAGTACGCATTTAACATCAGTGTTCTATAATACTTAATAAGTCTTAATAACGATTAAATTATTTTACTATGATACGAGTTAAATGTTTTCTAGTTTTCATACATTCATGCATTCTATGTACTTCAGTACTTCTTCATTCCTTCATTCATTATAAAACATAACTAGTCCACTGCTGAAAATAAGTCTCCCCCAATAACTGCCTCATAGGGGGATATGTGCCATAGTTGCCACGTTTTCTGTTCCTTTCATCATGTATCTGTATATAATATTAGAATAACTGGCTTTTATTAAGCTCAGGAGATTATTTGCATAGTATTAAGACGTAAACAAGCATTTTTTTTAAAGAAAGATTGATAAAATAAGTGGTTGACTATTGGTTACTAATTGGTCGAAGTTAGACTTACTACTATTTGTCCCAGGAAAACATACTGGTCAATAACTTCGAGTTTAGTGCTCCCAACAACTACCGCCATAGGTGTGACATGGACGTTTCACGTGATCTTTGTTTTGTCCATGTCCACCTTAAGACCTATCCGTTGGGAGACACTATTGAGGTCATTGAGCATGGTGCTTAAGTAGGTCTTCCAGCGATTCGGTCATAAGGACTATACCGCCGGAAAATCGAAGGTGAGTGACGTATTCACCATTCCTGTTATTACCGTATCCTTTCGCTTAATGCAGCTAGTTTGAGGTCATTTTCTATGGAGTTGTAACGAAATGTTTACTAATCTCACTATACAGTACAAAACAAAATCATGAAGTTATTTAACGCTTGTTATCTCTACGAGCGAGGTCCTGATCTGATCGAACTAACACATTCGTGCTGCAGCCATAACAGTCGTAATACACATGCAGCGTGGCTCTGCCACATATGTATAAGTTTTACACGTGGCAGAGCCACACTACACCTATATTACAGTTGTAGCACGAATGGACGACCACGGTAGGACCACGCTCTCACATTATACCAGCGTAAAATAGAAGCTTAAGTGTGTGTCCTATGGTGAGCGTAGAGAACTGGATACCCTTTTACTGGAAACGAGGCATTCCATCTCAGTCCTCCCGAGTGACAACATATCTGCATTTTGATTCGTAATCGAAGATAGATGTAGATTATGGTCTACAGCATCCACTTACCATTAGGTGGACTGTGTGCTCACTTGTCATCCTTATTCTATAAAATAGTAGTACATGGATGGAATGCCTTGTTACCAGTAAAAGGGTTTTCGGTTCCGGACACTCGCACGAGACATACTAACGTTATTCGATTATTTTACGAAAGTATTCTGCAAGAGCATGATAACTTATACGTAACATCGTGACTTTACCAATAAAAATACTGAACATTCACTAGAAACCAGTGACAATTTATAATTATAGATCTTGCGTTGATCTACCTTTAAACACATAACAAATAAGCACAATAAAAGAATTGTTGTGGTGAAGAAAGCTAAACAAGTTAGTTTAATAAACCATTGTAAAAAAAAACGTTCTGATACTTTACAGAACGCTGTAGCTAAGACCATTGTTTTATCCAGGGTAGAGACAAAAGAAACGTTCGTCTATGGAAAGCTTCGAATCGCTACCTATATTGCCCTACTTAAATGTTTTCTTTGTAACAAATCTCTCTTTCTCTTCTTAACGGTGTCGTATCATGTCATTATGTTTCGATAATTTTTAGAAAAATATGGCGGTACCATAAAACGTTATTGTATTTATTTACAATTAACAATTTAATAAGGAGTAAGGCAATTTACAAGCCTGGATTGTTGGCGTAAACCTGTGTAGGTGTACTCACTTTGCAAGGTATGAAAGTTCAAAAGGAAGTTAAAAAATTTATGATAAATTGCATAATTTTTTAGATAAATATCTAAGGCGAAGTGTAAAAATTTTGATTAACATCATGAACATAAAGAACAACGAACTGTTCATTTCCTACAAGCAAGCCATTTTTTAAACTGTATTATCAGTAATTATTCAGCAACACAAAGCTCTAGAAAATTATGAGAAATTATAGAGAAACGGAAGGTGAGGTAATATTGCTTAAACGGCCACGTACAAAATTATAAGAAGCCGTGACAATTTTTTCCTGCATCCCGGAGCGGTAGGGAAGCCACTGTGATTTATTTAATGAATAAAAATGCCTCCTCAGTGGCCACTCCGCGTTTCATACCTTTGCCACGATATCGCAATTAGTTGCTTTGATAGCTTTTTTAAATAGCAAAATTATGTCCACGATAAGGTTCTATTAACTCCAAAATCTATAGTCCTATATATTCTCTAATTTCCTACAGAGTTACATTTATTATTTTTAGTAAACGTGTTTACACGGACGCGAGATATGAGTGTAAATGAAACCAAATGACGTTGAATTACGTAGCGCTCAATACGGAACGTAATCAAATAACAAGATAACGCTTAACATCCTCCATCTGTACAACAAATTAAGCATCGCGTCAAAGGAATCTGTGAGTTATAAGTGTAAATAATCCAAAGTCCGCCCAACCACCACCGTGGGCCGGGCTTTAGAAATAAAAAAAAAACGAAACTCGTTAAAATAGCGGCTTAAAAAAGAAAAGCGCTGAAACGGGAAGGCTCGGTTGGTATCGGTTTTTCTCGACGCGGGCGGTTCGCTGGGCGGGGCCGACGGCAGTACCGTGCCGCCGGTCGGCTAGAGCGAACGTGTTGCGGGCCGTTGTCCGACTTCGCCGCACCGTGCGCATGTTTTAGTGAAATTACGTTATGTTGATGTCGTCGTGAATTTGTAACAAGATGGACTTTCAGAGTGCAATGGAGACGTTCGCCGAGGCATGGGCGGCCGCAAATACTGTCAAATCAGAAGCGCCGAGTGACTTATCGCAGGCAAGTTTTTCATTAAAATGCAATTTTTGAATTTTTCTCCTGTTTCTGTATAACCCCTTGTGTCCCCTAGAAATGTGAAGTATTATCGTATATATTTGTGTAGTTTAATAAACATAATCATAAAAATAATTTAACTTTAAATTAATCATAAAAATAATGTCGGACTTTTGAACTTTGAGAATATACAATTTTTTTCATGTTATTGTTTTAATAAATCAATTCTAATGATTAATTGTTTGTATGACTATATTATAAAGTCTTGAAAACAAACTGCGCACCAATTGCAAACATTAATTCTGCTGAGATCCTTACGATTTTGTAACACAATACTCACCTAATTGGTTCACCTAGACAATAAGCGACCAAGTTCATCTTGATAAGGCTTATTTGCATAAAAATAATGACACATATATACTTGCATTAATATAATTTCAATACTAACAATACTAAGCGATATTTCAGCAAGGACACCTCGATATACCTATCATCGATTCCCAGGCACACTTGTGGAAAGACACACTTTTTATTTATTTTTAACTAAGTCTTCGGTGTTATAATTCTCATAAAAAAATTTAACTTGTATTTAAGGATTTTCATTAAAGCAATAAATATTGATATTTTATATACTACTTTAAGGAGTACACGTTAAAGCGGCTAAATATAATATAAACAATGTTAAGAAGATTTTGTTTTCATACTTAAATGTATTTCGATTTTTATCATTATAGCCCATTACTCCACTGCTCCATATTGGCCTCCCCAAAACGTATGGGGGATATTTACATTAATTGTAGTTGCTATTACCGATACGAATAGGGTTGGCAAGCGTATAATTTTTATTATCAAAAGTTATGGACTGAATAAAACTGAAACGTGAGAATACCTACATATACTATTTAGTTATCGCATGGGCTTCTTTTCGGCCAAGACTCGTTCTGTGCCTTATGACCTATTTCTACAGCCTCCAACAAACCGCCATGTACAGCCAACCGTAATACGGTATTAAGAGTATTAAAGCCTATGCTTATAAAATAGCATGAAATGAAAGCTAGTGAGGCATACCATTTTAGTCTTCAAAGGTCAATACGCACCACAGCTATCTTTTTGATGTCCGTTGTGGCGTTTACATCGGCTGCTGTGGTTAGACTCTTCATATTAACATGTAGACAGTTAGCTTAGTTGTTTTTTTTAGACTATTGATTATCTTAAGGTGCTCTCAAAATTAAATATACATAATGATGCATCTTGTATTTATCACATGCATCTCAAAATTTGTCCATGATAGAAAAGTTGCCATCTATAATATAGATATGCACATATTACGTGCACGTAAGGAAACACCATTTTGATTTCTGTAGGACGCGCAAAATTAAAACTAAAATACTCGTATTTAACGCAGATGTCTTTCCCTTTTTATTCTCGTGTGAACGGTGATGTGGCCAGATATATGTATTTATTTAAAAAAAAAAGATGTTTGTCTTTGATTGGTTTTAACTTTTAATTCCAATCTCACTGCTTTATTATAATTATTTGGTAGGGGTAATGATGGCGAGAATGCCGCCGTGAGCTTTTATTTGTTTATTATTTACTTACAATTTTTTTTTAAAGTTCACTAGAGTCCACAGTAACTTTTTGTTTTGTATTTTGTCAAAACAAAAATATGCGAAGAAAGATAAAATCAATGATGACCTAAAATTAATTGGTAGCTGCGCCTACATTGGAGTTAGCGTAAAGCAGTGACAACGGTTATCGTATTGTGCTGATGCAAAACTAAATAAAATTTAATAATATCCGATTTTAATATAGGAACATATTTTAGATCTTTAGGATTATATTAGATGATGATATAAATTGAATATTTTGTTGGTTATTTCATTATTAGTGTTTGAAAAAGCATAATATATAACATCGGTTGGATGTTCGTATGTGGAAATTTATACTTAATTTATATTTTTTTATTTATTTATGTGGGTATATATTTTTATGTGGTAGAGCCACTTTAAGAGGATCACACTGTCACAAAACACAAGCATGATGCTACCGTGCTTCCAGCATCCACTTACCATAACTGGGTGCTCATTTGTCAGGATTACTTTTATGTAAGAAACAATTATTATTGTTCTTTAATGCAATCCAAACAATAACGTAGGCGCAGTATGATTGACTAACGTTAGCAAATCCGTGTAGATACGGTCTTATTTTGACAAAATTCTCTTCAAGTTAACTTTTGATCATGTGTATATCATGCCCTAATATGTTTTACGAGGGAATAATGGCAATAGTGTTGAAAGTAAAAGCATCGAGTTAAAAATTTCACTTTTGAGATAAATAATGCACAGGTTTTTGTTTGTAACAATTACATTTATACTTTCTCTTTGCATTGTGTATTTTACTAGTCTACAAACGCACTGTTACGAAATTATCGTTATCATTACATTTGTAAAAACTTTGGAATGCAAATCAAATAATCATTAATTATTAAGAAATTCCATTAAATCGTTTAGCAAATCGTAAAATTATCTCTATTAGTAGATTAAGAGCGTCGCGTCATTAAACCACGGCTAATTTGGTCGTTTCTTAATTACTGCCATTACAGCGGTTATAATATACATTATATGTAACTCAACACTAACCTATAACTGATTTTATATGACTGAGTATTTATTTGCAGTGTTCAAAGTTAAGTTACATCCTTTATACGTCTGGGCTGGGCACGGGGCTCCTGTCATTTTCTGAGGGGTATTTTAGGGCAAGGAGATGTCCGCCGCGCTGCCCCAATGCGTGTTGGCGAGCTTCAAATGTCTTCGAATTATTTTCTTGTGTTTTCTTTTTTTTCAGCCATTCGGGTTTCCTCACGATGTTTCCTTTACCGCCGAGCACATGGGAAATCAGCACTTAAAATTGCAATTAAAAATTTCATTAGTGCCGGCGGGTATCGAAGTCGGGTTGCTCGCGTACTGTGAAATTTACAGCGAGTGCTTACCCCCTGAACTACCACAGCTCACAAAATTTGAAAACTAATTATATTGACGTATTCAATCTCATTTCTAATCTAAACAATCTAATTAGTAATCAGCTGATTGATAATCTACACCAGGATACCGATAACGCTTTGTAAAAATGTCGCATTGGAATGAATGACTTGCTAACGTATGTGCCGAGGAATTCCAATTTGAACTTTAAAATAAGTTTAACTAAACATATTTTTAATCAAAGAAGAGGTTGATAAAATATGTAAACATAATAAATATATTGTAATAGAGAATTTTAATAATATGCATTTTGTAGGCTCATTATATTTTGATTTATGTCCATTATTTGTGTCGTTCACGTGGATATTACACATTGAATGACACAGAATTTTACGGATTTCTTCGCGTTTAATTCTTTGATGTTTCGAGTATTTGCAGGACCCAAGGTCACGGGGGAACGACAACTATAATCGTAGCTTCTGGCATGTTTTGTGTTATTTTATATTTAGCTCGTGTCGTGCTAAAAATTAGCGCCCTGTCCCGCCTTTTGGCTTTAATATCACTTATAGTTGATGCTAAGACGTACAACGAGGAATTGCATGGCCAATCACAGGCCCTAGTGGCCGTTTGGAGCAAGTTTGGCATGCTCACAAGTCAGTGAACAGAAGAAAGAGTTGTCGATTTCTGTCGGTTTCAGTCGTGGATGATAAGACAAGAGTGAAGAGCCTTTGGTTAAGCTGAGCCAATGTACTTCACTATCTTCGACCCACTTATCGTCAGATGGGACAGTAATCATGCATTGGTTGATAATAAAAAAATGAGATAGTTTCTAGTGTTTTCACGTAATAGAGTTTACGATTAACAAGCAGTTTGGACCTCTAGCAGTTGCGAATAATTTATTACAAACTATAGTCAGTTATCATTATAAAACTAGATTTTTTAAAATGCAACGTAACACGTTTGATTGCAAAAATATTACAGCGCCAGTTGTGGTTTATGTTGCAAGATAAAAAACCACAAGCTCAAATAAGCTTCAAGTAAATTATTGTCCTTACAAAATTGTATGTGGTCATTTGATAAAATTAAAAACTTTCCATATTTTGGTGGTAACAACGAAGATCGAGTTGAGTCTGATCACGTACTTGCAAAGTTATGGTGACTAAGTTGCGGTGGTGAAGGAAGACATCGTGTAGAATTACATGCTTTAGAAATTAAAATTATTTACTTTTTACTTTAGATTGCACTCTAAAGGTACTGCGTAGTCTCTGGTTGTTTAAAACCCTCTCAAAATCGAGAGGAATCCTGTGCTTGGTGCCCTGTTACTTTAAACTTTGTAAATGAAACAGATATTTTCTACATTATAAAAAAATGTTTGAAAGTTTACTATGAATCCGTATGCAGCGTGTACGTAGGAGTGTACGGTGAATATTTTCCATCGCTCTTATCTTGACATTATATGCTCGTTTGCTAAACAGAACAATAAATATTTGTGTCTTTGAAATAGCGATCAATTTCAATAAGTTGTAATGCAGTATTAACTCTTTAGAACTCTAAAGTTTTCATTTGATAGTAGATTTACAGACGGCTTATCATCACAGAAATCCTACAAGACTTAAATTGACAGTCGATCAAAACCGACGTAATTATCCGGCTTTTTTCGAAAAAAAAAAATTCAAAACATTTTTTTAATTTTCTAATTTTATGTAGGTAATTTATTTATTTTTAAGCCACAATTAATTTTTTAGGGATACACTTAATGTAAAAGTTATAATAAGTTAGTCGTAAAATATAAAATTACCTATACATTTATGAGCGCAGGATAAGGTTAGGATTGGGTTCATTGATAAATTCACTCTTAAAATGTCAGATTATCCTATCAGGATACCGTCATGATACGCCGCCACTTTAAAATTATTATTTTAAGAAAAATTAAATAATTTATCAATGGCCAGAAAATAACTAAAAATAACAGTTTAACAAATAAATATTTATTAAAAATGTGGTTTAAGTTTGATTATTTGCACATAA